GTTTTTTTGTACTATTGGCTTTATCTTCTCGAGCTGATCTCTGGAATTTTCTGTTCAGCTCTTGGACCTCTTCATTTCTTCCATTTGCTTTAGGATCTCTATGCTGGAGAGCAAGTTTCAGGTCTCTTCTGACATCCGTTTTGACCTTTTCCTTCTTTCTTGTTTTCTTAATGACTTTTTGTTTTCTTCATGTATGATGTTCTTGATATCATCCCACAACTTTTCTGATCTTCAATCTTTAGTGTTTAGCGTATGAAATCTGTTCTTCAGATGTTCCCTAAATTCAGGTGGGATACATTCAAGGACGTATTTTGGCTCTTATGAACTTGTTTCATTTTCTTCAGCTTCAGTTTGAATTTGCATATGAGTAATTGATGGTCTGTTACACAGTCTGCCCCAGCCTTATTTTGACTGATAATATGGAGCTTTTCCATCGTCTCTTTCCACAGATGTAGTCAATTTGATTTCTGTGTACTCCAGGTGGTGAGGTCCATGTGTATAATCGTCTCTTATGCTGTCTAAAGAAAGTATTTGAAATGAACAAATCATTGCCACTATGAGTGGCACCAACTTGATGGCACCTAAGAACATTCACCTTTATGCATTCCATTTCATTTTTGACAAGTTCCCATTTTCCTAGATTCATACTTTGTATATTCCATATTCTAATTATTAATCTTTGCAGCTTTTTCTTCTCATTTTGAATCGTACCCCATTAGCAAATTAAGGTCCTGAAAGCTTTGTTCCATCCACTCATTAAGGTCAACTCTTCTTTGAGGAGGCCGATCTTCCCCGGTCATATTTTGAGTGCCTTTCAATCTGAAGGGCTCATCTTCAGATAATGGTCTGCCTGCTATTCAAAAGTAGTCTGACCCTTCAAAAGTTGTCTGCATCTCCTTCTTTTTTGTCTTAATCTGGAAGCTCTGCTTAATCTGAAAGCAGTCCAATGTGGGTAACCCAGCTGGTATTTGAAATACTGGTGGCATTACTTCCAACAACACAAAACCACCATAACACCATAGTACAACACACTGATAGACAAGTGATAGAAGATATAGTATAGTTGTGCAAAACACATATATTTTAAAGGTTTTTGTATATATTGACAAAATTTCCTCCAGGGATATCTGCAAATTAAAAAGTTACTCACCAATGAGGCACATGTCCATTTTCCACACTTAAAAAGATTGTTTTAAAATCTTTCCCAGAATAGCTTTTTTTCATTCAACTTTTATGTAGTTTAGTGTATTATCTATTTCTTCCAACCTGATTTTGTTTTTTTAGGCCTATTTGATATTGCATTATTTGTTTTTGCCTATTAATTTGGACCTTATTTATTGAGGTCTTTATATAAGTAGACTTCAAAAAGTTTGTGGAAAATTCAATTTTCTTTTAATTCCATTTTTCTATGAACTTTTTGAAGTCTCTCATATATTAAATATATTAATGTTTTTATTAGTTGACAATATGGCAAGCAAAAGAAAAAGGTGATGTTTTTCACATTTGCACATTTTTGTGAAGTTGAACATTATTTCGCACTTATTATAACTACGTGTTCATCTCTTTTGTCATTTCTCTTTTGTTTACTAATTTGTAAGAGCACTGTTGGAAAATCCAGCTATTCAACTTAGGCAATTTTGTCCCTGTACAATGCTGTAAACATTTTTCCTTCTTTTTCCTTTTGATTTGTGTTTGATGTTTTGATTATTCAGAAATACAGAATTTGTCTGCTTAACTGCAGTGTCTTCCTTTTAGTGCTTCCACCTGTTTTATACCACTTAGTGCTGGGACCCTTAAAACTAATAATTCCTCCTTGACATTCTCTTAGTCACCCGTACACCATTAATAAATGTAGATAGTACTGGGTCCTGTGGATGGATTTTGATCAAGGAGCCACGCTAATACATTTACTACCGTGAGTTGTCACAATTGGAATAGAAATCCGATACCATAGTCCATTAATGAAACTCAGGTTTTATTGGACTTTATAACCTTCATGCATGCCGCTTGTCTCTCCTTTGTGATGCCCATAGACATTGGATAATCTCTGCTCTCACCATCCAATACCCATATTGTCTCTGGACACTTTCACCCTTGTTTGCCTAAGCAGTATGTTATTGTTAAGTGGTTGGGAGATAGTATTTCCTCAGTTATACAGGAGTTGTGGGTCAGTTGTTATGGCTTCTATTAGGAAGGGACTCTGGAAATGCCTCTATGCTCATTATCTGGATTGAAACCCCCACCTTGCTATCTTAATTAGCTTGAGGTTTTTGGCTGAACATTGTTGCAATATAAGAAACAATGAGAAACTGAGGTTTCTAAGTACTTTCCCATATAACATTATCCTGGAAATTTAGCTACACACAAGAAGGCCTCTTTTATTCCCTGATTCTGGGGTTGTGGAGATTTTTCAGATTTTTTTTTTTTTCTCTTAATATTTTTATGAATACTTTGTGTGTATTTAAGTCTTGTTCATCTGAAATTTATTCTAGTGTAAGGAGAAAGATTTCACTTTTAAATAACCACTCAGTACTAATTATTGAATAATCTATCGTTTCCACATTTTTTAATTGTTACCAGTATGTTCTATTCCTACATTATGACAATTCTATTCTTGTAGCTTTTTAATAGGACTTTATCTAGTAGAGAAAGGTTTATAATATTTTTAATAATTTTCCTGACTATTCTCATATCCTCATTTTTTTTTTTTTCTTCACTTTTTTTTCCTTAATGGTGTCACATTGAATTAATAAATTTACTGGGGTAAATTGCCACATTGACAATATTTGGCCTCATTTTCGAAAGTGATAAATAGCTCATTTATTCTTGTTTCTTTTTCCTTCAATGAAATGTAGCCTTCTTCATGTTGGGCTGTATATTTTTTACTAGCTAATTCCTAAACTAGCTAATTCCTAATTCCAAATATTTTATTAGTGTTATAAACAGGAGTCCTGGTGTGGTGCTGTAGCATTAGCACTGGGCTACTAACTGTAAGGTTGGCATTTCTAACCCACTAACTACTCCTTAGAAGCTGTATACAGGGGCCCTATGAGTCAGAACCGAATTGACAGCACTTACCAACAACAAACGACATTGTAATCAGGCTTTTTAAAATTATTATTATATTGTCTTAAATTAGTGTTGCTAAGAGTTACACATTTTTTGTAATTACTACCCTTATGTGGCACTGTGGGTTAATGTGCCAGACTGCAAAGCCATTTGAACTGCAAGGTCGGCGTTTCAAGTTCACCAGCTGCTCCTTGGAAACCCTATACAGGGTCACTATGGGTTGGAAATGACTCGATGGCACGTCACAACAACAACAACCCTTATTGAGGAGCCCTGGTGTGGTGCTGTAGGATAAGTAGTTGACAGCTAACCCCATAAGGTCAGTGGTTCAAACCCATCAGCCACTCCTCGGAAACCCTATATAGGGTCGCTGTGAGTCAAAACCAACTCATCAGTGCTTAACAACACCAAAACCCTTATTGAAGTATCCTGGTGTGGTGTAGAATAAGCATTTGGCTGCTAACCAACCCTACAGTATAGGCGGTTCAAACCCACCAGCCACTCCCTTGAAACCATATACAGGGTCATTATGAGTCTGAAACAACTCAACAACACTTAACAACAACACCCTTATTGAGGAGTCCTGGTGTGGTACTGTAGGATAAAAACTGGACTGTTAACTGCAAGGTCCGCAGTTCAAACTCACCAGCGTCTTAGAAACCCTAGAAGGGATCACTGTTGAGTGCCAACTCAATAGCACTTAACAACAACCCTTTATTATTACTGCTCTTCGTAGTTACCTTTTATTGCCACTATTTTCAAATGGAATATTTTCTGTGTTATTAGCTAGTTACCGCGTGTTCAGATAGGAAACAATGTTTTTCATGTTAAAGTGTACCTACCTATTTCCAGTTTTCATCAAGAATGATCATTGAAGATTATATGCTTTTACAGGATCTGTTGAGATCATTGTGTTTTCCTCTTGAAGTGGCATTATAATAGGAAATGACAACTTCATCTAAAAAACTGATTATTCAAATCCGTATTTCTGTTTATTTCTGTACAATTTCAAGTTTTTTGAACTATTTTGACCAAATCTCCGAAGTTTGGAAGAACTTTCCAGTCTTTGCAGTAGAGTGTTTTCAATAGCTCCTTTGGATCTGCTTGTCTTTGTGCAAGGTTCTCCTTGTAAGGTTCTCCATGAGTCTTATAGAGTACCAAGTTTTGTTAGAGACCTTTGACAAGGCAACAGAATTTCTGTCTCTTATCTACTTCAGTGACACCTGGCTGTCACCTCCATCTATGAAGGAAAAGATAGAGGATGATAGGGCTGCCCTGCATTCACCGTGGATATACCAAAAGTCCAACAAGTAGCGTTAGAATGGAAAAAGGGGTTAGGGACCATCAACTCTGGGCTAAGCACAGTGTCTCCCTCCCCTCATAAATTCTAAATATACGACTCAAGATAAGAAAATTCAATTAAGTTGTTTTCAACAGAAACTGTATTTCTGTTTTACATACTTCTAATGAATAGTCCTTTTCCTAGAAGCTTAGTGTTCATATTGCTAGATACACACTTGCTGTTAAGTGTTGTCAAGTTGGATACGACCCATAGCAACCCTGTATAGTGTTTCCAAGGAGTGAGTGATGAGCTTGAACTCCCAATCTTATAGTTCAAACCGACTTTGTAATCCAGTGCACTAACCCATAATTTGTATCAGTTTTGTTTAAATTTTCTGGGTTTTTTCATGTTCACTGTTGATTGGAACTGACTCTGGTACTTAACAGCAACAACAGCATAGTACTATTGTATTTTTGGAGTCCTAGTGTAGCACCGTAGTAGGATAAGCACTTCACTGCTAGTTACAATGTCAGTGGCTCAGACCCACCCACCAGCCACACTTAGAAGCCCTATATAGGGTTGCTATGAGTCACAAACAACTCAATGGCAGTTAATAATAGCATGGTGTTTTGGAAGATTTTATATAATAAAATTTGGTGTAATTTTATATTTGTATATATTGAAAAAGTCAGTTGATAAAATTTAAGCCCTGAAATTTAGTTCATATGAAAGAGAAATATTTGTTCACCTTTTTTGGAGCAATTCTGTTTTGGATTCTCAATTAAAATTGCATTAAAATGTATATATCTGCTTTCCATGGATTAATAGCAAGAAAAAAGTCAGCATATTTTTCTGTATAGAACAAAATTAAGTAACAGTCAACTTCCTATGTTACTTGTGTACTCATTAGCTATATACTGCCATGAAAGAGAGCTCACCTTCATTTGATGATGGACAGCCTTGGGGAGAAGAAACTGAAGATGGAATTATGCACAATAAGGTACCATACTTTATCATACACTATAATAATGAGTCGTCTTAATATTATTAAGTAACCAAATGTTTTGCTATTCATAATACATCCTTTGGTAGAGTGTACATTTTTGATTCTTAAGAAACTACTAAAATTTGTTTTTATAAATATTAATCAGTGGATCTATTATGAGTTTCTTGAATAATGGGATCCTGGTGTGGCACTGTAGGATAAGCACTGAACTGCTAACTGTAAGTCAGCAGTCCAAACGCATCAGCCACTCCTCAGAAACTCTATTCAGGGTCACTACGGGTCAACAACACTTAACAAGTAACTAGAACAGAAATTTGAAAATGTTAACTAAAAATGCAAGGTTGGAACTAAATCATAATATATTAATGTTGTACGTTATACATACTACATTTCCTTTCCACCACTATATTTTAGCATGAAGGTATTGATACTGGCAACATTTTTATAATTATAATTTTAATTATTCTGTCAATATGTAGAATAGTAGAATGGGTCTGAAAATGTTACATATGGCTTTTCTGTTTATTTTATCTAATTTTTGCCATTTTAGTTAGCCACAGTATCACTTAGGTCAGCATTACCATTTCCTAAGGTGGCTAGTAGAAATAAAGTGGCCATCAGATATGGTGCCCACACCAAACTTTACTGGAGATGAAACTATACAACTTAACTCCACCCTATTTCCTTAAAAACTCAAATATATATATAATATATATATATATACACACACACACACACAAATGGAGCAAAGCAACAACTCCAAGAAAAAAATTTTAAATGTTGAGATTATTGTACAATAACATTCCCTACCTAGCACACAAAAAGGAGTTCTGGTGCTTTGGATTAAAGCACTAGACCATAAGGTCAGC